GGCCAATTTTCAGCTTTTAGTGCTATCACACTTTGAATGACAATTGCGCGGTCATGCAACACTGTATCCATATACATTTTTTTGCATTTTTTAGGAGACATATAAAAATTTATTTTGTTGGTATTTATTCACCACTGGGATTTTAAATTTTTTTTGCTATATAAATGAAAAAGTTCAAAAATTTTGAAAAAAAGTGTTTTTCTTATAAAATTTTGCAAATAAATACTCTTTATTCATAAATCTTGGCCAAAAAATATTATTTATTCAGTTATCTTAAAATAAAAATAACCCAAATTAGTTTATAACCAAAAATCAAAATTTTTTTAACATATTTATTTCAGTATTTATATAGCACCACCAATTTACACAGCACTTTACATATATATTGTACATTCACATCAGTCCCTAACCCACAAGAGGTGTACAATCTAAGGTCCCTAAAAGTCACATTCATACATACACATACTAGGGCCAATTTAGACAGGAGCCAATTACCCTACCAGCATGTCTTTGGAGTGTGGGAGGAAACTGGAGTACCTGGAGGAAACCCACGCAGGCACAGGGAGAACATGCAAACTCCAGGCTGGTGGTGCCTTGGCTGGGATTTGAACCAATGACCCTAGTACTGCCAGGCAGAAGTGCTAACCATTTAGCCACTGTGCAGCCCACATACTGTCACCCTAGCAGTATAGTGTCACACAAGAAGTACAGACACTGTACTACTTGTCGGGGGTGATGAAGATTTTTTTTTTACTCTAATTGCTTTTACGCCCATAAAGGCTATAAAAGCAATCATTTCTCTTTCTCTCTGGCTGCATTCTTGCAGCCATTGAAAAATACTGTGTGAGCTGTGATTGGTCACAGCTTCTTGTCACATGGTACAAGGCTGTTGTGAATTGCCTTGTACCATGTGACCTCTGTGATCATTTACAGATTTCACACGTAGTAAGCAATGATGTCAGAAGTGACATCTTGATTACTACTCTGCATGTGATCACTGATTGGCCAATCAGTGATCACATGGTCAGGACCTCACACAGAGGTCCTGTACAACGATCGGAGGACATAGTGGGCACTGGATCGCGGTGCTGCGCACTCCCCAGGGAGCGCACACAGGCAGGGAAGTGGGGAGGACATTTATAAACAGCCACCCACCCCTGCACTGCTCCCTTCCAGCCGTTTATATACATGGGCCGAACGGGAAGTGGTTAAAAGGAGTAGTCTGGAAATAATTGAAATACAATGTGGAAATGAATATAGGACTTTACATTTTCACCTTAGATACACTTTAATGGGTTTATTTTTTTATCTGCCTGCATTTTTTGTTTGAAGTAGTCTTGCTATTATTACATTCTCTCAGATGTCCTTTAGACCTTTACTTACGTGACAACATCATTATGACATTTACAGCTTATCTGTAACAATGTTTCCAAAGCAAGAATGGTTGCAAAAAAAAAAACATAGGAATTTGACCTAGACAGGTAACAAATGAAGTGCTTGTTAAGATCAAGCATGCATAGACGGGGTGTGATAGGACTTCTTTTCTGTCAGCCTAATTTGAGGAAATACGTAGTAATGCTGAAATTTAATATCTGTCAGAAGACAATGTGGTTCAAAAAGGTAAAAGTATTTGCAAGTAGCTCTCAGTCTTCAATTAGCCCTTAAGGTAGGGCCTTTAAGGCGCAGTGGCCATTGACACACGTGCCAATATCCTTGTCCTTCTGCATTCCTTCTACTGTCACCAAGCTTGTTCCCACACATTGAACACCAAGTTCACCCTGTGCTCTGTTCAGTGTGCTGAGCCTCTGATAAAATGGAAGGAGAAGGTAAATGAATAGCAGGTATTATGCTTTCATAGCTCAATCTGACTAGTGATGATCTTAAGTTGGCCATGCACTAGAGAAATGCAAAAATTTTGCTTCAGGAACATTTACTTGATTTTCCAATTGTCAGTGGGGTCACATCGATGTCTGCAGAATGAAAAGTTTTTCTAATGAAAAAAATTTCTAACAGTGAATATGCTTTTCACTTGGGAAATTAGATTCATTCCTAAATAGATTGTTAAAAGCTAACAATCTGTTTTGAATATTCTTTTTATTGAAGTTATCCACTTGCCCACCAGAGGATTTACCCCCCTTCCTGACTAGGCCATTTTTTGCGATACGGCGCTGTGTTACTTTAACTGACAATTGCGTGATCATGCAATGCTGTACATAAATTAAATTTATGTCATTTTTTCCCCCACAAATAGAGCTTTCTTTTGGTACTTGATCACCTCTGTGGTTTTTATTTTTTGCGCTATAAACAGAAAATACCAACAATTTGGGAAAAAATACAGTATTTATGACTTTTTACTATAAAGCATATCCAATAAAAAAATTTTACAAATCAAATGTCATAAATTTAGGCCAAAAATGTATTCTGCTACATGTCTTTGCTAAAAAAAATTACAATACGTCTAAATTAATTGGTTTACGTGAAAGTTATAGTGTCTACAAATGGCGGTATATATACTGGAATTATTTTTTATATATATATATATATATATATATACACACTAGTAATAGGGACTGCGGGGGGCATGCTGACACTCGGTCGGAACCAGGGGCGGACTGACCATTCAGTCACTTGGGCACCGCCCGAGGGCCCGGGGTCAGTAGGGGGCCCCATAAAATGCCCCTGGTACCTTTTTTATAGGCTTTTTTGAGTGTGGGCAAGGACACAGGGGCCCCATGATCCCCTATTGCCCAGGGGCCCCATGAGTTGTCAGTCCGTCCCTGGTGGGAACTGACTAATTGCCAGTGATTTCCTCATTAACACTAATACAGTGATCAGTGCTAATAAAAAGCACTGACACTGTACTAATGACACTGGGTAGGAAGGGGTTAACATCTGGGGGCGATCAAAGGGTTAATTGTGTGCTGTGTGTGTTTTGCTGTGTGCTGTGTGCTACTAGGGAGACATGCTGCTTTGTATCTCTCTGCTGTGCAGAGAGATACAAAACAGCAGGTCCATGCTGACAGCGGAGTCTCTCCCCTGTCAGCTTTCCTTGACGATCTCCGAGTGCAGGCAGGGAATCTCCAGCTGGGATTGACATCTCTAGCCACCAATAGTGGCATGGGTAGGGCGACAAGCCCGGAAATGCAAATCACATATATATATATGTAATTTTGCGCAGCCCTGCCGCCCTGTAGCACTACTTCTGCTATAGGGCGGAGGGCAACTGGCTATAAAGCTTTGGTGTGTATACAAAATAGAGCTTTGGGGCATACCCCAGCTCAAGGTATACAGTAGTACAAAGTACATAAACTGCACATCTAATCAACAAAACTATAAAATTACCAATAGCTGCTCAGGCCTACTAAGTAGTAGTTTAGGATCTCATTAGATAAAGGCACACCTCACATGACATGAAATAGACATTATCAATAGAGGAGCAAGCAAACCAGATTGACAGCACCCCCACAGTCCAGCAAAATACGAAATAGCTATAAGGCGTTCAGCCATGCACACTCCCAAATAAGAAGCAACAATGTGAGCCAAGATTAGTAGAGATAGGGTTGGGATCAATATGGGATCCAGTCGTAGATGCTGAGTTGAGCCATGTATCTCACACCTTGTTAAATTTCTTTGGATATCCACGAAAAAGGTATGTTACTTTGTAAAGGAGGATTACTGAGTTAGTTAGGGACTTCTGATATTCCAGGGTATGGGCGCTGTCAGACTTCCATTTAAGTGCTATGTCCTTTCTGGCATAATAAAAGCAGCAATTCTAGAAGGGTCTTAGTTGCTCAAGTAAACACCAAGGGGTCTACCAATAAATAAATATATGGTGCCGCGCTCTCTATAAGACCCAATGTCTAAATTATAATAACAGTATGAATCAAACAATTAGGAACACATGTTAAATTGCAATAGATATTGAATACGCATATAAAGCAACAATTATTAGACTCCTAGAGGAAAGTCCAACTGAATTTGAATGTCTTTTCACAAAATTATCTTGCTTGAAATAAAAATACTCACACTTTTAAAATTAACCTGTAAATGTCAAATGTTAATTTCAGGAGTAAGGGAATACCCTGCTGTGCCGCTCCATAAGGAGCTGAGTGGGTTAATTGCCTCTTCACTCTTAGGTGTGTTACTTGTAAGTGAATCTGGAGTGTAGATTCTTCCTTCTTTAGGGCTTTCCTTTCCTGGATGTATTGCTGTGAGCGAGCTTGGGGCGTGGATTCACCCCTCCCTATGCCGTGCACTTCATCTCCGCATACATGCCAAGAATAAAAGAAAGGGAAATAGTGCCTTATCCTCAATAAAATACCAAGCTTTATTTGTGCCCATATGCACTCACATTATATATAATAAGAATGCGCTTGTAAAAATGCCAAATATCGGTGTGACCAGCCTGGGCGGCATGCAGACACACTCTGCCTTTACTCGCCGTACGAATGGAGTCGGGTACGTGGTGACGTCGATGCCCCTCCCCAACGCGTTGCGCCACAGGGTCACGTGGCTTCGTCCGGGGGATGTGAAGGGGTCTACCAACCCTAACAGACACACTCCAACTGTCAGTGGGATAGTTAGACCAGATATAAATTGCATGACAAAAGCTAACAAAATTTTGAAGTACGTTTGAATGACATTCATCAAGTTGTGCAATAGACTGAAGAATGTTAGTTTGTTTGTAAGTCAACTAGTGTATGGCTAGCTTTTGGGTTCAGGTTGAACATGTGTTCAACCCAGACCCATCCTGTTTGCAATTTAGCAAACAGGGGACCAAACTATCCAAATTTTGGCAGTTCACCCACCCGCCGCAGTCTCCAGCTGATGTAACCTTAACCGCCTCCCATATAAGGTAATGACGGGTGCAAGGCGGTTCTCTCGTTCTGGGAGGATGTCATATGACGTCCTCCCATTCTAACCACGCATGCGTGGCTCCGGGGGCGCGCAGCACGGCGATCAGTGGTGCGCTGTGTCCCTTGGACACAGCGGATCACCGATCAACGGTAAGAGCCGAAGATGTCGGCTCGGTCATGTGATCAGCTGTTTCCAATCATAGCTGATCGCATGTAAATAGGGAAATGCCAGTTATCGGCATTTCTCTCCTCACGAGCTGTCACACTGACAGCTCGAGAGGAGAGGAGAGCCGGTAATCAGCATTCCTACATGTGCACATGTGCACTGTGCACTGACATGTGCACTGATCACCAGGGCCCTGATGATCAGTGTAGCCCCAGCAATGCCACCTGTCAGTGTCCATCAGTGCCAGCTGTCAGTGCCCATCAGTGCCTCATCAATGCTACATATCAGTGCCTACCAGTGCACATCAATGCCACATATCAGTGCCCATCTGAGCTGCCTTTCAGTGTCACCTATCAGTACCAGTCAGTGCTGCCAATCAGTGCCGCCCATCAGTGCCAGTCAGTGCTGCCTATCAGTGCCAGTCAGTGCCACCCATCAGTGCTGCCTATCAGTGCCACCTAATAGTGCCACTCAGTGCCGCCTATCAGTGCCATATATGAGTGCTGCCTTTCAGTGCCCATCAGTGATGCCTGTCAATGCCCATCAGTGCCGCCTACCAGTGCCTGCTCATCAGTGCCACCTGTCAGTGTCCATCAGTGCAGCCTATCAGTGCCCATTACTGCAGCCTCATTAGCACACATCAGTGAAGGAGAAAAATCACTTATTTACAAAATTTTATAACACAAACTAAGAAAAATGTTTTTTTTTTTTAATTTTCAGTGGTTTTTGGTTTGTTTTGCATGACCACGCAATTGTCATTCAAAGTGTGACAGCGCTGAAAGCTGAAAATTGGCCTGGGCAGGAAGGGGTTATAAGTGCCCTGTAGGCAAGTGGTTAAGTCTGTCATTTAGCCATGGTACCACTATTTCCTCTAAACAATAGATTCCCATATGCTTCTGTTTCAAGTTGTAAACAAGCCGGTGGAGATCCCCGGAGACGTATATGACCAAATATAGTCATTAAATCACCCAGCTTCTCAGGACAGGATATCACCAAGGTTGCTGTTATTTACATTCCAGCAGAACTGGGAATCTGTCATTTGCAACAAGAGTACCAACAGAACAGCATTGTCATAATAGCAGGTCATCAGGCATTGCTCAATCTGATTGACCTTGAGTCTGCATTGCTGCATGACATGATTGATGTTGGATTTAGATCAGTAGGCATTATTTTGTATTTTTGGGGGGAGATTTTTTTTTAAGAAAGGACCTTTTACACAGTATTTGTATTTATATTTACTTTTTTGTGACTCTGCACCACAAAGGTAGGTCTGGCAGAGCACTGCTGGGGGAGGTTGGTGGGTGAAAGTGAAGGTCTGCGTTGACACCAGGTTCACTAAGTAGCAGGACAACCCACAACAGGGGCAAAAGAGGAAGAGGGCCAAGTGGCAACAGGATCAAGTGGAAAATCCTGGAGGCCTGTCTGTATTTTTGGGCCCCCACAAGTTCTGGCAGCTACAGGCTCTCACAGAAGAGGGTCTACAAACTGGGGGAAAAGGGGAGCCCTAGTGGCCGCAAAGCAGCATAGACAGTATGGAACTACAAACCCCAGCAGCCCCAGTATTCAGAAAGTATTACACAGCCCATATGGAACTATCAGCAGTGCTAAGCACCTTTTAGTCTTCTTCTAATGAGACCTGCAGCCATGAGTTCCCCTGTATCCATCATTCAGAATAGTCTGACAGTTTACTGTCAGCATAGAGATATTATACCTTACTTTGAATTCAGTCAAGACCTCAGTCCCAAATTGCTGGTGCCAAGGTGTCTGGCTTCCTCCAGGTACATGATACCATGATGTCTGTGCTACTTGCTGAGAGGAGTCTCATCTTGTACTCCCTGTGTGGGTACAGGAACTCTTGGATCAATTATGCAGATAAGCTGGTTTCTTTATACATTGTTGGAGGTTGATGAGTTCACAATAAATCTAATATTTCTGACATACTTTATACCTGACAATACCAGTGTCCACTTTATTGTGCCCAACCCCTGTGCATATTCTGTGCTACATTTTTCTTTACAATATAGATATTAAAGAATTAGTTAATCTAATGATATGTGAGGGTGTATTGATTAATTCCTAATATCATAAGCACAGTATTTCATGTTGGCACTGACAAAACACCTTTATCATCCCCTTTAACTTTCAAAAGAAAATGTGTGGTAGTTTTGTATGTAATGTCTTTATTTATTGTGATCAGGACTAAAACTAAAATAAAAATACAACTTTTACTGATTATTCTGTAGTCTTCTATTCAGCCAGCAGTTCCTTAAAATCTATTGTACAAAGACTGTTGTTTACAGAGTTCAATAGCTCAAGCTGGTATTCGTTTATGAAAACATGTTGATGGATGGAATCACCCACTGACTTCTCCTGCCTAAAACTTTTTTGCGGTGAGTTTACAGAACTGCCCCTAGCCTTGGAGTCTCATTCCTCTTTTTGGAACATGTTTTTGTCTCCATAATGTAAAATCTAACAGGGAGACTAAGATCTTCATGTAACTGCCCCAGCAGGTGAGTTGAGCTTGGAACTGTGTTCTCTCCATTAGAGTACTTGAAAGTTATATGAAGTCAGTGACATTATCCATGTAATACTGAAACGTGGTATCGGTTTTGATGGGATGACTATACCCGTTAACAGACAGTACATGTTTTGTGAATTGTAAAAAACATATTCCTACGTTTGGAACATTATACAATCAAACAAGTGCAATAAAAATGAAAAGCCTCTTGTTATTTACTCTAAGCACGTGCAGTGTAAGCAGCCACAATGCATGCATAATACCTTGCTGCAAAGCTGTGGCTCAGTGGCTTCATCACAATTAAAATAAATCAGATTGGTGAGCTGAATAGTCAAAATCACTTAATTAACGTAGCAGAACAGACTTGGATAAGCAGCCATCATGTCTGTTTCCAATTTTCATATTGAGGTTAAGTAGCGTGAGATAAAATTGTTTTCTTTACAGAAAAGAACTGGCAGGGATAAAGTATTAAACGCAGGATCTAAAAATACTCTCTTTCTGAACTGGCCAGTAATCAAGTGCATTTTTAGATCCAGCAATTGATGTCATTGACAAAATCACAGCGTTATGCAGACACAAAGTATATAATCCATATTAAGAGCACATAGCATGCAAGTGCATCAGTTCCTCTTGGAAGCGCACAAGAGAACATGATGTTTTTATTAAAGTTGCTAAATTATGCCTTTTGAAGTTTGGGTTAGAAAGCTTTCTTTGGCTATTTAACATTATTTTTCAGTTTTCAGAAGACTCAACTATATGTGTAAAATACACTTGTAAAAATGTTTTTCTTATAACTATAGTTAACATCTCAAATACATTTTTTTTTACTATAAAAAGTACCCTCGGAAGTTGGCTCTGAAGAAGTAGCATAGCAATGGGTATACAGTCTGAACTTGTGCTTGTAGCTCACACATTTATACTAAAGGAGAAGTAAAGGCCAAAGAGAAGGAGAGCTAAAGAAGGACAAAGCTTTTTTGGCCCTACTTCTCCTATGAATCTCAGGAATGAACTTCGTTCTGCACTCCTGTGACTACTTTTCAGTCAACAGCGGGCTAAAGCCCACTGTCGGTTGATATCACTCAGCCAGTCCAGGGTCTGGAAAGATCCCGACTTTAATGTGATGGTCCACACAGATGCCTGACCGGCAGCTGGCTCAGCATCTGAGCATTCCACTGAGAGCCTAAGCCAGGCTTATGCACCCCCTCCACTGCCCGGTGAACAATGGAAGGGCAGAGCAGAGAGCCAGTGACTCACAGTCACCAGCTCTCTGCTCATTGATGACCAAGAACTAAATGATCAGCAGTCTTTTGATCACTCAGTTCTCAGTCTAAGAGGTGGCAGGGGGACTGATGCAGCATTGAACTGATGCTGCATCCATCTTGGTGAGTATAGATGTTTGTTATTTTTTTCTCCTCACTTCTCTTTTAATCGATTTCATCCATAAGGATGTAATGCTTGCCCTCGAAGGAGATGCTGATGAAGGGGACCCCTGATTCTGAAGACAACAATTTTACACAGGGGGTGGTACTGGAAGCTAAAAGGGCCTTCAGCCTCTCCAAACCTTTTCCACTGGCCAGTAAAGTTTTAATCATTGGGGCCCAAAGTCCCTGCCTTGGAGCACTTAGGTTTAAGAGAATTCTACTTTACATTAGGATGTAATTTGGGAACTCACACCCTGTAAAGTGACACTCCCTTTAGGAAGTAAGGAAGTTGTAGCCAGTGGCCTTTCACCACTGTGCAGATTGTAATCAAACCTTTTTCTGCTCTCTGGAGTCCAGAACAAATGGCCTTGGCAGAGACTCAGGACCCCATAATGGCACTTTGTCACAGAACCAGAGCTTGCTGGAAATCTCTGGCAGCCATGACCTCCACGTAAATGTATCAGCCCAGTCTCTCTCCAACACTGCATTGAACACTCACTACAGGAAGTGTCTCCAACTCAGCAAATCTCTCCAGTAGTCACCTCTCAATTCCCACATAAGACTGCACCGAGCCAGAACTTCTCTTCCCTTTTCCTCTTTCTATTGTACTCCACCCTCCTGGGACTTGCAGTCTCATCTAGTACTTTTCTTGCTAGAAGCTCTCTCCTGGAGACTACATTCCCTCATAGTTCTAGGATACTTCCAGAGATCTCGACTCCATGGGTGGGCTTTGCTCCTCCACCCTGTAACCAATCACTGTCCTGCTCTCCTGGGTGGTGGGCGTGATTCTTCTCCAGATCTTTGTCCCTACCCCTTCTTACAACCACTTCTGTACTCATTGGCAGCCGCGGAGAGGGAGATAATCAGTGTATGGGTGTCTGAAGCATTTCCAATGATAGCCCAGTGCTGGAGGCTAAGTAGCTCCTCTGCCGATGCTGTAGACCAGGGCTAGATAATAGCAGACAATATTTCCAAGCTTAACCCACTAAATGAATAATACATAGCTAAAGCAAAGTAGGGGACCAAAAATATTAGTGATAATAGAGCAGAACCACACTCACACATGGTTAAGACATCCAAATTATGAATACAGTAAAAAATAATATTAAGCAAAACACAACACTTACATGTAATATATAATTTTGGGCAGGGACTCAAAATGTTTATTGTTGCCTTGGAGCAAAAATGTCATGGAGACCTAGATCCCACTTTCTATTTTAAGGATACATGTCTTCAACTGTAACTATAGGTCTCACTCTCACACCTCATCAGTAATTTTTATCATCTCTTCATAGTCAGCTTTACCCTTTTGCATCTTCCCCAGGTTGTCATTGACACATCATCTAACACCATCATCTGTCACCACAGTGGCACCATAAAGTCTGCTTTAAAAAAGACAGGAGCAAGGGGGAATATGTGCATGTAAGATGTAGAACAGATGTTTACTTTTTGGTC